TTATAATGCAGAAACCCAATATTCAGATTGTCAAATTTAAGAGTAAGTCACAGTGCAGGGAAGAAAACAATGCCTTTTCGTGTTGATAATCACTTAACAATCAAAACAATGTATACCTTACATCCCCCCATCTCTAGTGTCTGCTTCCATAAGGCCACCTCTGTATGTTCAGCAAAATATGGACAGTGAACAAATTATTCCTGTTTTATTAAGCATATTTCTATTATGAAGGACTACTCCTGTCCTCCCAAGATCATTAACTCTCTTTAGAAATAAGTCTTAGGTCAAAGAAAAAGGAAACAAGGTTTTGGCTGAGGAGGAAGTACAAAAAAGAATAAACGCATTAAGTAATCTTCAGTTACTGCACAAGTTTAAACATGATGATCACGGGGAACAGGAACAGATCAGGAAAGTGGAGATCTCAACAACACAACAAAAAGAGTAACAGCTCCGAAAGAATATCAAAATATTCTGACAGAACTAAAATATGCATGGAAATCCAAAAAAAAAAACAAAACCAAACACAAAACAAAAACAAAACCCACTTAACATCTACTTAAGTGAGGCTCATTAAACAAATTAAATATGACCTGATTCTAGAATTGGGCACGCTTAAATTCTACCAGATATTTTAAGGGGTTATTGCTGACAGAAATCTCTTTTAAAAGCAAAGTATACAAAACAACACAAGAGGTCCATGCAATTTACATCATTATATAATGGATAAATCTCAGTTCTAATCAGAAATCTTACTTTTAAAGTACTATAGAAAAATTCTCTTTCCTGACATTTCTTTAACTGTCATAAATATTAACCACATAAAATGCAATCCTATTTGTTCTTATTCCTTCAACTGAATGAAAGACAAGCCTGACATTGAAATCCAAAGAGGCACAGAGAACTCCCTTCAGACATAACTTGAATCGATCTTCTGCACGACATATCATAATGAAACTGGCAAAATACAAGGATAAAGAGAGAATTCTGAAAGCAGCTAGGGATAAACAGGACTTAACATACAAAGGTAGATACATAAGGGTAGTAGCAGACCTATCTACTGAAACTTGGCAGGCCAGACAGGAATGGCAGGAAAGCTTCAATGTGATGAACAGAAAAAAATATGCAGCCGAGAATCCTGTATGCAGCAAGTCTGTCATTCAGAATAGAAGGGGACATAAAGGTCTTCCCAAACAAACAAAATGGAAGGAATTCATCACCACTAAACAGCCCTACAAGAGATCCTAAGGGGGATTCTGTGAGTGAAATGTTGCAAGGACCACAAAGTACCAGAGACACCACTACAAGCATGAAACCTACAGACATCACAATGACTCTAAACCCGTATCTTTCAATAACACTGAATGTAAATGGACTAAATGCTCCAACCAAAAGATGCAGAATATCAGAATGGATAAAAAAAACAAGACCCATCTATTTGCTGTCTACAAGAGACTCATTTCGGACCTGAGGACACCTTCAGCTTGAAAGTGAGGGGATGGAGAACTATCTATCATGCTACTGGAAGCCAAAAGAAAGCTGGAGTAGCCATACTTATATCAGACAAACTAGACTTTAAATTAAAGGC